AGTTTTGTTTCAATATCTGCAAAATTAACAAGTCTCAACTCCACTTGTTGATGATTTCATGAAAGGCTGATCTGGTGCGTGTTTTATGGGAAGTATAAAAATTTGTCTTTTCTCTTTCAGTATGACAGGTCTTTAAATATATGTCTAAGACAACTTTTGGCAAGACAAAAGGTCAAGGAGAACAAACAATTCAGATCCAGCTTTACATTATGAGTGTAAACTGCCCTGTATATGTGATACAGTGGCAGATGTTCAATACTTACAGCATAGATGTCCTGAGGGGCTGATGTGTTTGTTCCATTCGAGCGATGGCATTTAAAAGTGAAATTATCTTTTGCACTGGGAGGGAAATAAAAAAGCAATTAAAAAAATATCTGTTTAGATTCATTATTGTGAACCGATCAACACAGAAAGGATGTTTTCATAAATACTTACGGATTTGGGGGGTTGATATAATGAATAGCTACTCTTCCTTCAATACTTCCAAGGGCAAATCCAGTTGGTTTGTTCACTTTGTCTTTAAAAATAGCAACACAGCGATGCTACATTTGAGAAAGATACAAAGGATTCTGAGAAACTTCTTTTCCACGGGGACACAAAACATCGCAGACATCAAAGTAAAGCAAAAACCACAAACAACGTCAAGAGATGGGTCAAATTCTGTTGAGAATTTGGGCCATAGTATTTGAATTTCTAAATCCTTATGAACATCACCAATAAATCAATGGCAGACCAGGTCATGTGCCACACTAAGAAAACTTGGCTTTGAAATAGTGCTTGTTTTTACCAGGAAATGTCAAGCCCAGAATGTCAACAATCTGTAAAAACACACTCATAACAAATATTATAATTTACCTGGTGTTTAAGAGGAGATTCTATTCTTCTAAATTCAGAAGGCTGGTTCTCTAACTGGTAAACTATCAAACCCCTTTCTGCAGTAGCCACAGCTGCCATAGGATGAACCTGGATAAGGTTGTAAAACAAGTTGGAAGAGAGACACTTGTGTTAACAGCATGGCAGAGAAGTCCATTACTTCACGGAAAACCCTGATGAATTTAGAGGAATTAGAGGGAAAAAGAACAAAGTTCATTTGTAGACATATCTTCGAACATAACAAGTCAGTTTTTCACTGCCATTGAGAAATTAAGATCAGATTATGTTCTACTACTAAAATCACACAGAGATTAAATACTACCAGTATTCAGAACTACCCCAGAGAAGCCCCAAAATCTGCCAGTTTATTCCTACTCCCAGTCATCCTGCTGACACCAGTTTCCTGTATATCCTGGCTTACCACATCTGCACAGTAACATCTTTCAGGGAGCTGCAGTGTCATCATAGGTGTTGGTGAACGGGTATCCCAGAACTGACGGGAAAAGAAAAATGAACAAACTTACACTGGGAGCTGAAGATTCAAATTACTTCAGTAAAACCTGTGCCACACAATTGGCACAAGTTGTTTCATTCTGTAAAGTGAGGCTATTCCACTATTAGCATCTAATAAAATATTTTCACTTCACATACATACTTTCATACACAAATGACCAGCACGCTTTGTGTCCATTTCTTCAGGTAAAAATCATACCTTCAAAGTTTTATCCCAGCTTCCTGTCATCACACAGCTATAATTGGGTGCTTTGATCCAATGGATAGTCTTCACAGGAGCATCGTGCTGAAGAAAAAAAAAAAGGACAAACAGACAGACAATTACTAATATAACAGGCCATGCTTCTTGTTTATGCTTCTCATATTTTTGTATTTATTTATACTTTTCATCCATTTGTAAAAGTCAATACAATGATATCTGAATTTTTTTTCCTCTCTAATGCAGCAGGGTGACTTAGTGAGATCCCTCCAGCAATGGAAAAAGTTCTTTTGAGTGAAACAGAGGAAACAGGTGCACAGCATACTCAAATCACTTTGATCACCTACTCAGGTGCATTTCACTATCTCAAAAATATAAAAAATGCTAAGAAAGGTACATTTTAATACAAACAGAAAAGTAAAAAGAACCACCTAATAGTTTGGGGCTTGATTACTTACTTGTGCAATCTGAATCGCTTGATTACTGTTGAGATCCCACATTTTGGCAGTTTTATCACAGGAAGCAGTAAATACTTTACTCCCATCCTAAAAAACAAGAATAGGACCAAGAAATTAACTGGTTCTATCACAAAGTATCTATCAAAAAACTGTCAAGTCTTAGTCTCTTCTAATAATAGTGTAACATCAATATAACACATACTGGGATTGCAAGACAAAGAAGCAGCATAAAAATGGACATTTATTTATGCCTGTATGTCATAAAAGAGCAAACAGTGCTAGGTTTTATCTAGCTTAAAATACACTCTTAGCTTTTAAACTCACTTTTAACCTTCTTAAGCCCATGTCAGTCTATCCCACCAGGACACACTTAGCACACATTTACAGCAATGTAAATCTATACAACAACCATGGGCTATATCTACTCATCTGCCTGCAAACCACATGCCAATTTTTTGAGAGTTTTGGTAAAAACTGTGTATTTTAAATAGGAACATACATCACTCCAGCAGGCATCTAGTACAGGCCCTGTGTGCATCTGCTGAGCCTTTGGAATTGTCTGTCCATTATCCTGAACTTCCCAGCAGCGAACCTGTAACAGGAGAAGCAGATGCAGAGGTAACATAGTAACACAAACTTAAAAGATTGTCTTGAAGATCCCAGCCTTAGTTTATCCAACATTAAGTGAGATTATAAACACCAAGGTTTGTAGTTTTTTTGAGAATTAGTGAAACCTTATTTTCTCTGATTATGTCCCTTTCACCTGTACAGCCAGAACTTAACCCCACAACTTCAACTTCACCTCAAAATACCTTAAGAACATGAAACACTTCACCGTGCTCTCCTGCAGAACCTTTAACTCCCAGCTGGGCAGGAGCTGCTCCCTGCAGGCCACCAGCCAGTAGATCAAACACAACAGTTAAAAAACATGCCCACACTCTTCTTCCCTCCCTGCTTTTGCCAGCTGGGATCTCACCCTTCAATTCAAACAAATTTGAATAATGTTGCACGAACTTGAATCTTTTTGAGGTTACACTGTCAAACTGGATGATTTAGCAGCTTTGTCAAACTTAGTGCCTTGGTACCAGACACAAATTTTAGAGTTCCTCAACAAGTTATATAATCAGGTGCCCTGCTACAAGTTTTTAGGATGCCATTTTGCTGTTTAGGCACCAATGCTCCCACATTATTCAGCTGCATGTCTGACTGTGAGTACTTACATCATTGGCCCATGATCCTGCAATGAGGAAATTACCCGGCAGCGTGGGTGGACTAAATGCTAAACAAGAGATGCTGTCATCAGGTGGAGATGTTACCTCGATGTCCTACAAAGAACAGGAGACAAAACAAAACTTGCCACGTTTGAAAGACTGTGAGCTGAGATCTTATTACTCCTACCTAGCAAATTTTAGGCTCCGTTGTGACACACTAACACACAGCGCGGGGCAGTGGTGCCCACAGGGGCTGGCACTCGTACCTTCATGGGGTTGTGGTTATCTGCTGTGGTGCTGCCGAACATGCTCGTGCCGCCGGTGCCGAACCCCGACGTGGATCCGAACAGACTCATCTTGGCCCTGCAAAGGAGGGAAAGGCTCAGCGAGCCCTGCAAGGCCCTCAGCAAAGCCTCTACAAGGCCTCCAGCGTGCCCGGGGCGTCTGACCGCAGCCTCTACACCAGCACGGCCCTGGAAAGCACTCAGGAATGTACAGATATACCAAATTCATTAATTAATTAGTTAAATAAAAAAAGGACACTTCTCGTCGCAGCTGTACCCCTGACACCTCCCGCCTGGAGGGAGGAGGGATTCCCTGCCGGGGATCCCTCTCGAGAGCCATCTCCGCCGTGCCCCTCGCTTGCCCCGAGACCGCCCCGCGGTGCTGCCCCCCCCTCACGCCCCGCCCGGGGGGGCACCAAGGCCGTACAGCTCCGCCGGGGTCCTGCCCCCGGCCGGCGGAGGCCGGAGCTGCCCCCGGGAGTCCCGCGGGCGCTGCGGGCCCGGCCGGGCCTCCCCTGACCCAGCGGCGGCGCGGGGCTGCGCTGCTCCTCCCCGTGACCCAGCGGCGGAGCGGGGCCGCTCTCCCCCCTCCCCGTGACCCACCGGAGCGGGGCCCGCTCGGGCCGTGCCCTCAGCGACGGGACCCCGCGGCGCGCACGGGACGGGCCGCTCCTCCCTGCGCAGGCGCCGCTGGGCGGGGCCGCGGCTGCGCCCTGGGCGCGCGGGGCGGGGCCGTTGCAGCGGGTCCGTCCCTAGAGGAGCGTTGGGCTGGACATCGGGAGAAGGGATTTCCCGCAGAGGGTGGTTCGGCACTGAGCAGGCTCCCCAGGGCATTGGGCACAGCACCAAGGCTGACAGAGCTCAAGGAGCGTTTGGATGACACATGGTGTGGCTCTTGGGGATGGGCCTGTGCAGGGCCAGGAGTTGGACTCGAGGATCCTTGTGGGTCCCTTCCAAGTCAGCACGTTCTGTGTTTGTCATGTCACCTGTTTCGTTTCAAACAGCATTAAACCTTTGGTAGAATGCTGCCCCAGCTATTCCAGAAACTCATTCTCATGCAGATAAATCCTTCCTCAAGGCCAAACACACAACAGCTCCTGACCTGACCCTCCTGCTGCTGGACCATCCGTGTGTTCCCTGGGTCCACACCGGACACCAGCCATCACTATCAGTTGTGACACTGCTACTGTGCAGTAAATAAAAAGGAATTTAAATTCGAATTTAATACTGGTGGAAGAGCAGTAAAAAAAACCAACTAGATAAATATACTGAAATACTATCTGTAAGATCTGTGCTGGCAACTCTCTAGGACAGTTTTGGAAATATTTTCTGGGCAGTCAATCTGCCTTCCTCACATAAAAGTTATTGTACACTTGAATCACCACAGTTTTCTGCTCCTTTTTACTGTATTAGAGCCAACTAAATAAATAAAATGAACAAGGGATTCTGTTATGATGTGCATCATTAACAGGACTGTTTATTAAATTCTTAATCAGTAACATCTGCTTTCTTACTTATTCATGGAAGACAGATAGAAATTTGATTGCTGGAACATTTATAGCTGCTTGAGACATGCAGAAATAAAGAATTATCTCTGACTTTTTTGGTCTGAATTTACAGTGAACACAAACCCCCACCATGTTGTACTTAAAACAATATCCAAAAGGAGTCACATACAATAAATTCTTAACCAAGTCTTTCACTCCTTTCAAAAATAAAAAGCTTGGTACAGCATCATCTTGTGCTTTAAAACAGAAGGCAAAGCAATTCTTGGATACATTTTTAAACTTAACATTTTTCTGTCAAGAAACAACATATTTCATTATCTTTTCTGTGTGTATCATTGCATTTGGCACTTTTACACTGCAGAAACCATAGAATGGAAGCAGCAGTATTCTGCAAAAAGAGAAAATTGTAATCTAGATTGATAAAGAAACCTTACAAGAAGCTGACAGATACTCCTCTGCAGGGTTTTTCTCTAAGAGCAGTCAACAAAACAAATCAATATATAGAAAAGCATTTCATTTGCAAAACAGTGCTCATATCCATCCACCAAACTGCAGTTTGTTTGGTAAATAGACTCTGGAAAGGTAATCTTGTGAGAGAGAAGTTAGAACTTGAATTTCAGCCTTCAGTTTAGATGCTGCCATCATTTCCAGCTTAAAAAAAAAAAAAAGAAAAAAAAAAGGAAAAAAATTAATGTGTGATGCTGTAACAGCCTGATCCAGGGGTAAGTAAGAATTTAAGTAAGAATTACACTCACTGGATGTGCATGTAAAACTGTAAAGTCAGTATGACTGGAAATGGTGCTGCAAAGTCCCTGTCACTGAGCTGAGAGTATTGATTATCTATTGTATGTTCTTGTGTGCACCTCACAGGAACACAATTTATGAGTATCAACAGGAAGGAGGAAGTACACAACCCCTTTTCTTCCATTCTAACCATTTCACAGAATACGTGCCTGAATTGAGATACTTATATTTTAAAAGCTACAGCCAAGATTAGAGGTCTAGTACTGACTAAAGAACTGCTTTAAGCAGTTATGGCAGGAGAGCTTAAAATGCTTCTGAGAGCCATTGACATCCCAGGGCATGGGCTTTCCCAATCTTGCCTTCTTTTAGGGCTGCAAAACCTTACTGGTTCTGCTTGTCAGACATAGGATTTGTCCTGTGGGGAGGAAGAAATAGGAAACAGTAGGTTTATACACACTTCTTTTTTCCACGCTGGCTGACAAGCAATGTAAGGTCTCTTCTGTATACTTGCCAACTTATTTTGATCTTGTTTTGTAAATGGAATCAGGGCATCTTTACTTATATTTAATCTGAAAAGAAAATAAAGTTCTTAGATTTTCTCACACATTTAAAAATATTTTTTTCCAGCTTATTTCTTTATATTAAGCCAAAATAATGTATGAAAAGAATAATGTATTTAAATGGATTTTTGTGCAGTCAGTCAGATTGCATCTGCTGTCTATGAACCAGAAGAACACTTCTGTTTCTTTGGGGAATTACTAACCTCTTGAGATCAGATGGAAGGAGACCAAGCCACTTTATAGATGGAACAGCAAGATGATGGGCCTCAAAAGACATTGACTAGAACAAGAAAGGTTGGCTATAACACTCACTGATTTTTAGTGTAAGTTATTTGAGATTTATGCCTTACAAGGTCATGGTCTGGTTGTATTACAAAGACAAGTGGGCATTTTCACTCTCAGAATGGCACACTGCAACTGAAGTTTATCGTGTCCCCTTGCCAGGAACCCCCTCCTTTGATAAAATTGGCACCCTTTGGCCTAGGACAGGTTCTAGACTAGTGCAGTTTAGGCTGGTCTAGTCTGAACAGTTTGTTTAGGATTTTTACAGTCAATATGTGTCTGATTATATAATAAAAATTAGCCAAGAGGGCAATGACAATCAAAACTGGAAATTTCTGATATTTTCTGCTATAAAGTACCACATCATATAAAAATAACCCAGACAAAGGTTCATCTGGCCCCGTATCATGGCTACAGCAAACATCTTAGGGAAAAGTGTAAAAACAAATAAGCAGTTAATGATACTTCTCAGAATACTCCCCCTGCTCCCAACAGTTTGTGACTCCAACTTTCTGAGCCAGAACTGGTAGTGGTGTACTACTTGATTTTGTCAGGTTGCTTTTAGAATCCATGAAAACTTTTGTCATCTACAGCACCCTACAGCCAAGTAAATTACATGTTGTATAAAGGAATACATCCATTGTTTGTAACGAACACGGCATATTCTGGTTTCATTTGATACACCTGTTGCCCTGTAACTGAACAAAACAAGCTTCCTAACAAAGGTTATAGCATTTCATACCTTCCAGCTTCCAGGGTGGGCTACAAAACAATGTACTTGAAGGGGAAAAAGTATACTCACCACAGATCCATATTTGTAGACGCACATTATTTCTACACCTGGGTTGCAGAATACCAAAAATCAAGTGTCTGTTAATCTGCACACTGAGCATTTTTAAGGAGACTGCCTAATTCAATTTTATGGCATAACAGTTATGGCTTTATGATTAGTGAGGTTCTTTATGGCTTAGAAATATTTTTAGAGTATGTCGAAATAATCAGAATTTGAGCATAATAAGTCACCTTCACACAGTTAAATGTTTCACACTGTCTATGCATAGTCAGCTCAAACCCAAGAATAAGCAGCTCTTTTACACACTGTCCAACATTTATCATCAAAGGTGTCTTTCTTTATCTTGTCTAATCCATATCTCTTAATACTCTTGCTTTGAGCAGCTGCTTCTCATTTTGCATTAATCTTCCTAATTTCACGTGAGATCAATGTAGATGCAGAACCTTCTGATTGTGTTGGATTTCTGGGCTCTCAGAACCTTCCCATAAGAGTGAGAAAAGACATTCTAAGCAAATTTTGCTTTCGTTTTATACCACTGAACCTCTACAGATTTACCATGTGGATCTGCATCCATAAGGCTGAAAACAGGAATTTGAAAAGAATCCCACAGCTTCCTGACCAGAAGTCGCGTATTAAGGTCTGGTACACCTCTTCCCTAAAGAAACAAAATAAAAGCAAACAGTTTTAGATTAACTAAAACAACATCTGGCTACATATATGTTTACATCTGTCATTTAAAAGCACGCAAACAAACAAACAAAATGCTGGCAGAAACATTTCTCCAGCAGCTGTTTTGCAGGGAGAGTTCTGTGCTTCTATTTTGGCTCTGCGAGGGGGGAGGGATGGGCTGGGAGCAGCCTGGCAGGTGTTCTGGGCACTGTAGAAGTATCAGACATTCCTCTGTTCAAGAAGTTAATTTGTAAGGTCTGGGAGTTGATGTATAGAGGTGCCCTAGTGTCTGTATAAGCTGGTGTAGGAAGGCCACCTTTTTATCTCAAAATAATATTTATGGCACTAATGGAACAATATAAAACAAGTTCTTGCTATGACTGACTAAAACAGAATGATATGCAGCATAGGAGAAGTGGGGTTTTTTTCCAGGTATGGGGAAATGTTTTTTTCTCATTGTATGCATACTGAGTTTACACATTCCTATTAATTCTCCTGGCTCCATAGCTCCTTCAGTACAATCCAAAATCAACCAGTTCTGTTTCATTTGGGTTTGCTAAACCTCGAATCCTGAAGGACAAAAGGTCACTCAGCAGTTGAGCCTTTCTGAGACTTTGCAGCAGCACAAGAAGCTGACAAGCTACCAAGCTCTAAGGAGATGTTTGGAGGAAATAACTGTTTAGAATATATATTTCATATTTCTATGAGGATAATAAAATTGTTTAAATTATTGTTATATATGCTTCATATTAATTTTATTATGGCCTTTTGCCCAAGTTTGAGCACCTCTACAACACTGAAGTATTACTTAAATTAGGTCTAGCTAGAGGATATGAACTGTAAGATGCATACCGTAACCATGATACATGGGGACACTTTGTTGAAGAAATCATCATCCAGGAGCCTCTGAAAAGTTGCATCTTTTTCTACAATTAACACAAATTTGGCATGTGAGATTAAATCTTTTCTGTTAAGGCTAGCTGCATGCAAAGTGATCCATCAAACCAATCAATTAAAACTTAACTGCTCAGAAATACCTGCTCTGGAGCCAAAAGCAGTGATCGTGATTCAATTTCAGAGCCAAGAAGCAAAGAAAAAATTACCAGAACATTGTTTAACTTGGAATATTCTTTGTTTTTACTTTATTTTTTCAGTCTATGATGAGAGTTCTTGCTCAAAGGATACTTTTAATTCCTTGAACATTAGATGGCACAGAGACTGCCTAAAACAACACAAATGAGATTATTCATTTTAAATAGAGAAAAATGATATATTTTAAAATAACAGCATTAGGTAATGAAGGACACAATTGCATCTCGAAACAACCATTCATCTTGCATATACAAGATCAATCTTGACATTTTCACCTTTTTATAAGCATATTCAGCCATTCATATCCTGCTCTATTGTGTCATTCTCTAGGAGTTCCCCTGTCATGACAAGATGCTTTTCAAAACTATCACAGAAGATTGTTCATCATATGGGTGTGACAGATAATGACAATAACCTGATTAATTTTTATCTGTCTTAGCCAGAAAAAAAATGTCTGCTTGGTGTGAAGGTAGACAATTTAATACATATTTAAAATATTTAAGAATTAAATCCTTCCTTTTATTGACCTATAACCTGATTTTATACGTATTTTGGAGCCAGAGCTTGAAGACACAGTAGTGTTTACTTTGCATCTCCTATTAGGATTGGCTCAATCTGGCAAGCATATGGATGAGAAAACAGGAACTGGAGGAAGAACTTGGCAAAAGAATATGTATATATTGAAGTGTGTGGTCTGTTTTTACTTCTGACTGCTGAATCACCTCCGGTGCCAGGGTGGAAGAACTCGGCAAATAAAAGTATGAAGAGCTGCAGAAGAGCATTAATAACAAGGCACTGCTTACAAAATGTAATGGGCAGCTAAGGTTACCTTTCAGTTTTTGAAATGAGCGACTTAGGCTTACAGTGAACACATTTTCCAGAAAATTGTGGCAGTAGTCAGCAAGTCTGAGTTCTATTGCTGCCTTCATACTCTGCATGGCTATAGGAAATCTTTCAGGACTAGGTCAGTTGAACCTCATCTCCTTAAACCACTTTTGCCAGAAGTCAATCTACTGTGACAGAATTGTGTAATAAATGTGTACAGTGACCTAAACTACAAGAAGTATCTTGTAAAGACAGATGCTATGAGTTACTGTTTCTGTTTTATAATACATACTGTTGCACTGCAGGTACAATTCACTTTTGTACCATCTTCCTCAGTGTAACTTAAATGACCAGCAACAAAACCTTTAGTTGTAGACAGCTGGAAAAAATAGTAAGTTGTACACAGTAAATGGAAAGTTACAGGCTGTCACATTGCACAGGCAAAACAAGAAATTTCTGAAAATAATCCTGGCCAGTACTAAGCAGTGATCAACTGCCATCAGCCCCTTAAACACTAAGCAATGTTGTTGTCATCATGCACATCAAGGCATACTTACAATAAATAATTTTAGACACAAAGGAACCCTTGTAAGGCACGAGATACAAGTGAATTTGACTGGTTGTTACATTTCTGATATATTTTAATTTTCATCTAGCCCCTAAGTTAGCAAACCATTTGAGTACAAACTGCTAAACAGATGCCTTGCACTCCAAAGTTTAAGCACTGCCTTCACTAGATAATAGCAAAAGCCTCTGTGATTTTAGCTGGCAGTTTGTCCACCAAGCAAAATCTGAATTTTCTGTGAAGAAAGAAACCCTCTGAGTGCCACGACAAACCATAATTAGGTTTCATTTTCATTAATGACACTTTTTATTTTAACAATGTAATTCCCACTGATAACTTTTCATGATACTTCCCCTTTCAGTTTAACCTATAAGATTCGGAAATAATGACAAAAACATTTATAAGAACCCACTTACTATATGCAGACTTCTCCGAGGTATCTTAAGCATGCAGGAAATGTCATTGATTATATGGTCCACAGCACTTTGGCTACCAAACAGCAGAGTATCTGAATAATATATATCTCTATCAAGACAAAATTTTGTATATTTGTAATTATAATCTTGAAGCAGCTGCAGGCTCATGAGAAATTTATAAAGAGCATCATCAATCAGATCAACCTAAAATATTCTTTGTGCAGGAATCCTACAGGTTTGCATCCTGTAGGCTGTTTTGCACAGAAACATACTTAAAATACAGCTTTATTTGAAATTACAGAAATTAAGTCTGTTACCTTTTAGTTGCATAAGTATTGCTCTGCACCATCTTATAGATCATAGATAATATTTTGAGCATAAGAGCTGGAAAAAAATTACAAAATATCAATTTTCTGAAGTGATTATATAATCATTTGTCTTTTTATTGACCCATAAATAAAACTGAAATTTTAATGCGCTATGAAAATACAGAGAAACTGTATTAATCAATAGACTCAATAATTTCTAGCATAACAAGAAAAAATATGATGGAGTTAAGTGAGGGAATGTATGCCCTGATGTCCAGGCCAAGAATTTAAATGACTAAGTTAGAAAAAGAAATGACCTTATTGTCTGTATTCCAAGATTCCTTTCCTAGCCAGCTTTTTGAAGAAGGGTGATGTTTTTACATTAAGACCTTTTGAATATGCCTTCAGCTAATATTCATTCAGGGAGGGGAAAAACTCTAAGAATATTGTATTAATTTCACTGTCACTCACTATAATTTAATAGAGAAAAGCTGAAGGGCTGGTCATAGTATCAGGTTATATCAGCTACACAATTATAAACTGCAGTATATAATATTTTAATTTTATTTTTTTTTTACAAAGTTTTGAACCACAATACAAAGAAAACCCCAAAACCAAAACCCCAAGAATTCTTCTTTTGGACTTTTTTTTAAACTTACCAAATCTTGTTGCTGATTGAGGGCAGTCACTTCTTATCTGTTTTGTAGTACAGCGTCGTATCATCTGTAGACCTACAGAATCTTTAAATCTGACACATTCCAAACAAATACAATGTAAACTCACTGAATAAATGTAAGTTGTTGCCTGCAAGGTAATTCAGCCTCAGACCCCTTTCCTATAATCAAATACTCCAGGGCTATTTTCAAACTCAGCATAGAAACCATCAGCTTGGGTGGAGTTAGAGTGGCCAGAGGAAAAAAGGCAGGAAAGAGTTTCCCAAGATGCTTCAAGACTGAATTTAAGCATAAAACATGCTTTTGTCTGTTTCCAGACAAAAGCAGAGACAAGAAAAATATTTTAGTTATGTTTAGAACCATTAATATATCAGCATCAATAACTTTTTAACATGAAAACAAAGGAATAAATGACAGGAAAAAATGCGAACCATTATTAGAACACTAGAAATCAAGTCTGACACAGTGACTTTCTGATGCAGAATGTGTGAAAAGCTGTTACTATTTCAGATGACAATAACATTATCTAGTTTACATCCTTAAATTATTATCAGAATAACTGTTATTAACTTTTGGAAACAGAAAGATGGTCCATCCTGTCCTCTAAAGAGCTTTTTTAACTGAATGAGCTCCACCATTTCACGCTTCACTGTTTCGTGTGTGAAGATGCACATTTCACCAAAAGAGTCAGTTATTTTCTTAAGGACACTTCATTATTTTACAGAAAATTATTTTAGTGCCTTATAATATGGCAGTCCTAACTTTAAAGCACTCCTTTTCATTTCATAGTTTTGTGTGTACTATTAAAAAGCACTCGTGGTATAATGGCTGTAATTTCATCTAAAACCACATCATGTTTCTCAATTTGTTTGTCGGAGGTTTTGCTTCGTGCATCCTTTGGGTGGCAGAGCACACACGCTGCACAAACCCGAAGGCACAACCCAGTGTAGCATCTGCCTGCCAGCTTTAAAGTAACTTTATTGCCTTTGTAGTGCAACATTTAAAAGGAATTTGTGCTTTACCATTGCCTGGTCTCTACATTGTAACAGAAGAGGAAAACTGTAATCAAGACTTGGCTGAGCTGCTCCCAGGTTAAACCTGGAACACTTCAATTCTTCCCAGGACTGTGCTTTCTCCAGCAGAGGAGTTTTCTATAAAATCTTTATTCCACTACTGGGAATTTTTTTGTGTATTTAGTTTTTTTTAATTCCTGAAAAGATAAAACTGGAAAATGAAAAGTGATTGTACTACCTAAGGCTTGACATTCTCACTGATTGACATCATTCTCAGGTAAATACCTCTGTGGGCATCTACAAATGTTTACAAGGAACATGTTAAACATGAAATCATTCTCTTGTTCTACTCATTCCTGCCCTGCACATTCCAGCTGGAATAGGTTGGGTATGAGAAAGCTGCCTAAAAAAAGAAAAATAATGCCCCACTGATTGTGTTTTCTGCCATTCATATTATATTTTGGCATCCTGATTTTATTTTTGATTATTTATTGTTATTTTAATCTTCCTGAACTGTATTAAAGTGGGATATAGGTCACTGTTCAATGGAAATACATATCTGAGATTATATTTCTCCACCAGAAATAATAGTTCCGCTTTTTTTAATGTGATTGATGAGTCTTATTTTTAACATACTGTGATCTTCACTTGTTTTAATTTGAACATTTTTCCTCATATGTGTTCTGATGGCAACTAAAGGCTCACATTTGTTTTTCTAGCCTGGAATGCCATTTCCCTGAAGACTGCCAAACATTGCATAACTTTGTTATAGTATTTTAATTTTACAGACATCTGAGTGAAATATTTTTGTCAAACTATCAAGACACAAACCATTAAATTCCCTGGAACATACAAGCCTTTCAGTTAACTGATTACCTTCAGGCCCCTCAGGTTTTTTGATTGGCAGAAGTTTATTGTTCTCATTAAATGAGTGTTCCACCAAAGTGTTACACCTGGAAAGTGTGCTGTGCTTCCTCCCCCTTAAATGTTTGTAATGTGTCCACTTACAAGCACCTCTGTAATCGTATCAATCTGAATATTATTTAACCCACTGATGTCCAAAGCTGTTACAAGGCCAGAGATAGATTTGTGTCTTCCTTTATTCTTTTGCTTCTGTATTATAGAAGGCAGATAAACTCCTAGTATTGGGGATTCTCAGATTGAATCAGCTCCTTGGAAAAATACAGTTGCATAAGCACTTTCCTACAAATCACAGAGTGTGCTGTAAAGGAGGACAAGTTGCTTTTATTCTAATCCTGTTTAGATAAGCTGGCATGAGACCTGAAATTTAGATAACATATTGGAAACTTGGTTTGCTTTATTTGGCTGGTGATTAACTTAGAACACACCATACAGGTAAGAAACACAATGGTTAGAGGGGAGATGCAGCTTCTCTGAAGAATAAAAAGCTAAGTTTATCACTATCATTTTAAGAAATAAGATACCATGAGGAAAAGCAGAGAAAAAGAAAAAAGAAAGCACAGAATGGGTTTGGAGGATGGAATTGCTAGTAATTTCTTCCAGCCCCAAACAGGTTTTTTCACTCAAACAAAACATATCATTTCTGGTTTCTACTGCTTCCAGAAAATGATTGTTTACAGTACCTCCCTTTCCTGTCCAACCCCTATTACAGTGGTTTTACGTTCTCCTTTATGCTATGGTCTGCTATTATTTAATACACGATGCCTGTTTGGAGTGGTTACTAAGCATTTATGTTTTATTTGTTCATTACTTCTTAAGAAATCAAATTATTTATGGATTCTAATACTTACAGAACTACGTACATTTAACTTTTCTGGAAGTTATATAATCAAATTTATATTCATGGCATTTATATTCACAGAAGGCAGAACTTTAAAATACATACTACTTACTCTATGTTCCTCCAGTCTGTTCTGTTTGCCACTGTGAGAACAGGTGCTTTTTTTTGGGCCAAGCTTTGAAGCACACCTTGAATAACATTTTCTATTGCTTCAAGAACTTCAGAACTGAAACCAAGACAATTAATGATACAGATCATATGATAAAATCTCATTCTACTGTGAGTTTTGATCAAGTATCCCCACTCTTACAAAAATCATGGAAGCTAAAACTGCTTTCAGCATCCATTTGTTTCAGAAATGTGGAAGAATGATTTTGTTTTTTAATTTTGTTTTGCTCAGTTTCCCTAAAACCTTTGCCTTTCCATTCCAGATGCATGACTGAGGACAAAATTTAAAGTATATTTCTGTTCAATCCTGAAACCATCAAATTTTTCACCAGCTGAACTTTTAGACCAAGCGGCTGGTTTGTGACTAATGATTAATGTTTTACTATAAATGATGTAATATTGGCTTTGGCTGTGATTTCAGCAAAGTTTTTTTTAAATGCTGTAAATTTAAAAAGTGTTCAAGAGCACAAACACTTCCTGTTGTACCGTTGCACATTAACTTTTGATCTGCTGCCCTGAACAAACTATTAGGGGTTCTAATTATATGAAGGCTCAGTCTCGACAGACACACCATGAAGAGAATAAAATCTGGATCTTTCACCTAAAAAGACAAAATAACCTTGCAGCAGATCCCTTACAGCAAAACCCTGGCCTGGTTTGAGTGTTATGACAGATGCTTTTTATTTTCATAAGCAATCTGACTCCAACACTTCAGCTGTCCTTAAAATTACAAGGGTACTATACACTGTCATAAGTCTAGGTAGGAATTAAGGATTATAAAGAACTTATTTTAGCTCAAAGTTTTATCAGCAAGGTCCGATTTTGTCATTAAGTAATACACTGAGAAAAGATGAGCCAATACCAGCACAGGCCACACAAAATGAATTATCCCATTACAACATCAGCAATGATTTTTAAAGTTGGGCTGAGTCTCCTTAAACAACAATGAATTGTCACTAAGGCTCCCCTCTATCAGCTGACCATATTTCTTCCATTTTGTAGCTCAGCTTCCACATACTCCCCATTCTGCTGAAACAGAATTATAATTATTTTTTTACAGCAATTTCTGGAGAGTATTAACCTTTTATTTTAAAATGTTAGTTATAATAGTATCTGTACTCAAAAAAGCCTGATGGTATTGCTAATATTTTTGTCTGCTAATATTAAACTGTTCAAGAAACACAATGTAAGTTTTTTCCTGTTTTTCAGATGAATAAGTTTGGAGATAGAGAGACTAAGGACTTTCAAAAAGGTAAAACAGTGAAGCATTTGCAGTGTTGATGGTACAAGAAGGCCTGCTCATGCAGCCAATATATAAATTCATTTTCTACTGTATAATAACTTCGGAATTAGTTCCAAGACTCCCTAAATTTCAGACTCCTAGTCTCTTCCCCCAAATTCAAAATCTTGCATCTCCCTGTCATATCCAAAATAGAAATTCTTTTAAGCACAGAGGAAATGGTTGGCTGGTGAGCTCAATGTGCCATGCAGCAAGAGGTAAAACGGGTAAGCAAAGCTGACTCTGGTGCAGAGCTCCAACACCACACAAATTAGTGTTGATGACAATAAAAATCTGTATGGGCAGATGGAAGAAAGAACAAGTAGGAAATCTAAACCATGTTATTGCTTTCATACTCATAAATATTTTACTTATTCATTTGGTTCTGTCCACTGTAACTGTCTTAATATTCCACATGTTACTTCCAGGTTTGCTGCAGAATTTGAAAGTCCAGGTTTCTGTTCCAATCCCAATTTCCTAATTTGTCAGCCAACAGAAGTTGTAAATGTCATATGCAATATGCAAAATGTAAAATAAGAGGAAGAGGACAGCAAGTCTTTGGGTACCCCCTGCTGATATTCTGTCCCTTTTTGCAGAGATTATCTGAATTTTAATAAGCAAACATGCAACACTGGCCAAGTATGCCTACTTAAAATTCATTGTGGTTTAGTCAACAGTGACATGTGAGCAGAGAAGGAGAAGGTGCTGCACAACTCACAGGGTTTGCCTGATCACTTCTAACAGGTTGCAGCATGAGTGGATACTTGTTTCTGTATAAAACAAGAACTGAGTAAAAGATTAATATTGCAGCATCTTTAGCAAGCAAAAAAATATAAATGCCCAAAAGAAACAGTTACAAATAAAAATCTGCAAGGTAATAAACCAACACTCTCCAAAACTTAGAACTGTGCATCTCTAAAGTCATGAGCTTTCCATATCCTGCCAGAGACCAAGAACTCTTATCATCATCATCATCATCATCATCATCATCATCATCTAGCCTTTTCTTTTTAAAATACCTTGATGATGCTCCTAGTCTGTTCTATCCTTTGAGGCTGATATACTATGTGCAGAAAGATTCTTTAAAAATTGATGAGTGTTTTTTGTTGGTGTAATTCAGTACACTCATTTTGTCACAGTTTTCTCTATTTCTGCCTGTAGCCACAGACATTTTAGAGAGATCTGAGGGAATGGAGATTCCATTTGCAGCGTGAGAGCCCCTTTGTTTTTGTAGGGGAGTATGTTTTTTGCATTAGCACCAGCCCATTCCGTGCAGTTGTGTGCTACCTACTTAAGCATTATCACAGGAAGAGAGTACAGGTGCTATTTTCCACATCTTTTACCTGGGGACGTGGCTGTCACATCCAGACAGACTTGTTTCCCCGAAGCTGGCCTTGTTCCCAGCTGGCACTTCAGTGGAGCACACACTGCGCTCCCCCATGACGGCTGGCACAGACCAATCCAGCTCCTCTGGAAGGGATGAAGCCATGCTAACAAGAGACAAAAGAGGTTACCACAGAAGTTAGAAGCTGCTCTTCTGCATGCTGGTTGTAAAACTCACGATCCGAGCTCAAACCAGGGGCAGAGAGAAAAGGCAGAAATTTTCTGTAGCAGCCAAGGTCAAGATTTTCCTTCCTGACTGACCAACTGAGGGCTTCTCCCTCCATTTCTAATAAGCAGCAGCTGGCACTGCTTATCCTGTCCATCTGAGGGCTTTTCCTACCCATCCTGTCCAACTGAGAGATTTTCTCACCCATCCTGTCCAGCTCAGGGCTTTTCCTGCCCATCCTGTCCAACTGAGGGCTTTTTGTGTCCATCCCAGCCAACTAAGGGCTTTTCCTGTCCATCTGGACCGACTGAGGGCTTCTTCAACCCTTCCTGACTGACCAAGGGATTCTCCAACTCTTCCTGACCAACTGAGGGTTTTCCCCGCCCTTTCTGACCATCTGAGGGCTTTTCCCGCCCTTCCAGACTGACTCAGAGAGTTTCCCGCCCTTTATGACCAACTGAGGGCTTTTACCACCTGTCCTGACCAACTGAGGGCTTTGACCACCCTTTATGACCAACCAATGGCTTTTCCCACCTTTTCTGACCAACGATCGGCTTTTCCCGCCCTTCCTGACCAACGGAGGGCTTTCCCCACCTGTCCTGACTGACCAAGGGCTCCTCCCGCTCTTTCCGACCCTCTGAGGGCTTTTCCCGCCCTTTTCGACCGACCAATGGCGTTTCCCGCCCTTTCTGACTGACCAATGGCGTCTCCCGCTCTTGCTGACAGACAGGTGATGGCCCCGCCCCCCCGACAGGCCCCTCTCCCACCATCCCGCCCAACCATGGCCTCCCCTCAGACCCGTCCCTGGAGCCGCCGTGTGTGACGAGATGTCTCAGCACAACCTCCACAGCACCCAGACTGCTGGAACAAATCCGGCCTAGAAAGCAGCCGAATGGCCTGTCAGTACTTTCCTCATCCTTTCTGCTCAACCGGCCATTTTCTTCTCCTCTTAATGTCAAATGCCTGTTCCTGACTGTTCTAAGTGGCCGGAGGAAAGCTGAGAGAGCCGAAAGCTCCAGCTCCACTTCCTTCCCCAAAATGGAATTCAACTTCTATTGAGATTAAAGATTTAACACTATTTTTGTCATTAGCTTTCAGCATTCCAAAGGTTTGCAATGGTCTCACGATACATATTCAAATCTTTCTCAATACACTCTGAAAATCTTGTGTTCTAAGCAAACAATAAACCCCCAGTTCTAAGAGTTTTGAATCACTGGCTTCCAGGGAAGCTGAGATTTAAGAAAAAAAAGAAAATCCTAAATATTTAAACAGCTTTTACTTTTGCAGTTACGATATGCCAAGGCGTATTTTCAACTCCTAACTTAGGTCATCATAATTGACTTCTGATAGTGCTCACTCTGAGCATGTTAGCAGTTACTTAGGACATAAATAACTTAAGCCTTGTCCTTTTCTAGAGGAAAATTTTCAAAGCCCACTGTTGATACCATCTTTTATGCACAGCAGTCAACAATATTGGAAGCTGTGCTCAATCCAGCTCACAGCCAACAGCACTTCAAACATTGTGGTGCTTAGACTTGTAGTTAGCAAGTTGGATGATGTAGTGTTTAAAATGTTGCAGGCAGCTGGTTTCTCCTGCTGCTCCATTAGCTGCTACCACTGAACCTTTCTTCTTTAGTACTTTTGAGATTAAGCCGTCCAAATCCAGCTTGGGTAGGTAATTAAAAAATTCATGCATTGGTTTATTCAAGGAAAACCTCAGGCTATGATGATATGAGCACAAGGTGCTTCAATTAACAGAGGCAAGTGAAAGAAATGGGAGTAATAAAGTGAAATTTTCAGATCTTTCATCTTAAGTCTTTGGCCTTTAGGTATCTTGAGATCACTCCGGAAATATTTATGTAAAATCTCTGTTGCAGTTTCCAACAATTCAACATCAAAACAAAAAAAAAATTTGTTTGATATGGAACTGACAAAATTATATCATGCCCCCAGCAACAGACTGCAAACAAAACTAAACACATCCACTTATGAGAAGCCAATTTAATGACTTATCTCTTCCTCATAGCAGCAAACAAGAACTGTAAAAAAGCACAACTAAAATACTCAGTGCTTCTATCTGAGTTTTAAAAAACCAGAGATTGAAAAACAAGTAACAACGACAAAAAATTTCCATGTTTCTACCTTATACTACACATATAAATACAAATATAGATATTTCTAACTAAATAAATTCATATCCAGAATACGAGTAAATGAACTGCAATCAATAAATTAACTAGCAAGTTAATTTCCTAAATTTCTCTTTCTTTATTTTCCCTTTTTAACATCTGCTCATCAAAAAAACCCCACCAAAATTAAATTCCAAATATTGACTTAATATATGTATAAAAGAAGGGAAATTAATATGAAAATACAAAAAGAACTATTATTAAATATTAAGATGGAAAGAAAGACGTGAAAGCAGCAGTGAAGCAATGCAGATCTCTCATCCTGCCTCTACAAAGCTGTGCAGTAGATGGCACCACAGATGGCAGAGAAAATATTCCCCCTTGGAGGCTGTCAAATTTAACCCCGTGATTTCACTAATCCTTGATAAAACAAGTATGATAGGTAATGAAGCACTTTCAGATTTGTTTGCTTTGAAAGATACCCTGCTATCAAAAAGTTCCTTTAAGATTTTCTCCTATTATAACCCATGCGTGCTCTTATCAGGACTCTTCTAGAGGGAGCTGTGCTCTGGAATACTCTGCATGACCTGTTCATGCCACTTCCAAAGACTGTCTGTAACTGCTGAAAAAAAGCCTGTCTGGATCAAAACCTGTTGCTATCAGTACATACTACACACAAAAAGAGTGATATAGAACAAAAATGTGCATTTATCTTGGTGCCAAGATTTTTAATTGCTTGTTACTGATTTTGCATGTATAAATAGCTGCCTCAGTGGAATAAATGACACGTAAACAGGTATGTGCATTTTGTAGTTTCCTTCACTGCATACCTTTTGAAAAGATTTTTCCTCTTTTCATAGGTAGTTAATATCTTACATTAAGTTTTCTTGATTGCTGGGATAAGTATTTCTCTCCAAATGATCTGTCCTTTATTCCTTTCATAGGCTAGTAGGAAAACCAGTGGGTCTGATCTGTCTATTTTCAATGAATGTCAAACAGCAGGAGAAATCAAGTTTAAAAGCCTAAAAAGGGAGACATCTGTGGAAGGTAGTGATCCAGTGCAAGCCAGAAGGATTTGGGCCAGACAGGAGTGTTAAGGAGATATTTGGAAGCTTAAAAACTACAATAAGAACAGAACAAAAAAACTCCCCACCAGCCACTTAAGAGCTTCTTAGGAGTATATCTAATGTATTCCAGAAAGCTTCAACTTCTTTCCAACACCCTTAATTGTGATCTGGACAATCCTTGGACGGGCAGACAATATGTGAGCCAAAGGATTTTACTGTGAATCAGTCAGAATGAAATAGGAGCCAGATCTATCACCTGCCACTTACACAAAAAAGTTACTGATCTTTTTCTAATGAGCAAAGCCCAGAGAAATAGGAGATGAAAAGTCATTCACTGCTAACAGCTCACAACTCCAAATGAGATATCTCCTTCCAAATAACATGGGTGGTTAAAAAGAACGACCCAAAACTAATGCATGTTTTCAGTTTACCTGGCTCCAGAGCGAGAAACACCTGCAAAATATTTATTCTGCAGTGAGCCAAATCACTGTAAGAGGAAGTGAGGTTTTGTTACTATCCTTTCTCTTGGTGTTTTATCTTTCAGCCAAAAATAAACTCTACAGGCCATTCTTAAAGGGAAAAGTAGCTTTCATCTAACCTCTGTCAATTTTCAGATCCGTATTTTCTAATGCTTTTAGAGGTAGTAATGTATTTTTGGTGGCAGGCAAGACAGGTACTTGAGACAAAGAAACACAAAGTAAATGAAATAAAATAATTCCTTTTCCCAATTCAGCACAAATGCCACGTGCACTCTAGTTCGCTGACAGTAATTAAATTAAAAATGGGCAGCACTGTACAACTGAACATTTGGACATATAATTTTTATGTGCTGAGAAGTCTGAGCTTGCCCAGTAATATCATAACCACTATTCTTCACTCCTTAACTGGTCTCACACTAAGATGGGACACTCCTCCAGACTAATAAGAAAAATTCTTATTAAAAAAAATGTGTTAAAGGCAAAATATGTCGAAACAAACAAATGGAAGACATTTGTGCTGAAACATAACTGGAAAGTAAGAATGTCTTTTATTCCATGCTCATGTGAGTGTTTGAACATAGCAGTCTTGGAAACAGCTGCACCATTTCTTCTGGCTTTCAAGAGGTAAAATGGCTTGTTTATTTTCTGTTTTCCTTTTGTTGGCAAAATCCTAGAAAGCATGAAAACACAGGTGTGATTTTGCTCTTTAAACCCCAGAATGCCACCTGCTCTATGTTAAAGATACTTGAGCCAAAATCTGTTATTTCATTTATGTGACTCCTACACCAGTGGTGTCATGGCCCCAGATTTATGCCAATAGGTAAAACTCAGGATGGACTTTAGAGCTTTGTTATTAACTATTTAATAATGCCTGGGGAAAATGAAGTCAGAGGATGACGTAGGAGTCTGACACTGAATACTGTGGGCCGTAGGAATAACAAAAACAGGTGGGGCAGTTGCTTAACATTCTACTTCATTTTTGGAAGCCTAGATGAAAATCAACCTTATGTCATCCTTTAAAGTGCATTTGGTGATTTTAATTAAGCTACTAGTGTTAATTGGTCCACACCACAAAAATGCCAGGGGCACTGTGATGTAATTTTGGATAAATGGCAACCTTTGCTTTTGAGGGTCCTAAGGCTCAGTTAAAAGTATGTCAAATTAAAAAATAGCATAGATGTCTTATCTTGGTTTGTTCTCTTTTTTTTTTCTTTCTTCTGGAGAAGAGAAAAAACATGATTTAAGTACAAATACGAATCCAGCCCAAAACATGTCTTACTGAGCTGTTGTACAAGCAGCTCTGGATGCAGTGAGATTGCTTAATTGACCTTCAGTGAAGACTCTGCGCTGCCTTTCCAGTATACATTTTTAGTCCATTCAAACATTTTTCAAAGTCTTTCTGCATCTTTATTAACCACTCTTTTCTCTGTACTCAGAGCAAACTCAAATGTGTCAGCTGGATGGCATTGCTGCAACCCATCCCCTGTACTTGGGTGTGGAGGAAGGGGTGGCATTTTGCTCCATTTTGCCTTTTTTTCACTACAGCTGGCGATGACAGCTACCAACTGCCTTGGGTTTGGCTTGATGGATCTTCTTCCAGGCAACTTTCTGGCTGCTTTCCAGAAGGTAGTGGACCAGAATAATCACAAGGATGGTGCCAGCTTTATATTATGGAGAACTTTATATTATGGAAGTTTGTATTTCTGTCCCATCTCTCCCTGGCTGATCTCGTGCGTTGTTCCCAAAGGGAGTTCAGCGCTGAATTTGGGCCTTAAAGAATTGAATAGAACAAATTTATACTATTCTCTAAAGAGAAAATCTTCTGGCAGAAATGGGAGTTTGGAGCTGTGGACTTAGGGCTTCTTTACACTGGAAAGTGAACTGGAATTGCTATTGCAGAAAAAGCTATTCTGCAACAACTTATTTGACCCGTGACTTTTCCAGGCTATGA